TTTATCACGTCTTCATACGGGGCAATGGTGCAAGGATCGCGTTGTGCAAGACGCTCGTAATTATTCAACTCGGAAAACTCGCCTCATTATCACACGCGAACAGCTACGACGCAACCAAACTTTCCCGCATTTTTAAATCTTTATTTTTCTGTTTTATCTTTCTTTCTTTCTTTCTCTTCTCTCTTACTTCTCTCTTTTCTCTTCTCTCTTTCTCTCTTCTTTCTTTCTTCTTTTCTTTTCTTTCTCTCTCTCTCTTCTCTCTCTCTCTCTCTTCTCTCTCTCTCTCTCTCTCTCTTCTCTCTCTCTCTTCTCTCTTCTCTTCTCTCTCTCTCTCTCTCTCTCTCTCTCTCTCTCTCCCTTCTCTCTCCCTCTCCTCCCTCTCTCTCCTCCTCCCTCCCTCCCTCCCTCCTCTCCCCCTCCCCCCTCCATCTCTCCCTCTCTATATATCTATCAATCTATCTATATCTTTCTGTCTACCTACCTACCTACCAGTCTACCTACATATCTACCTACATGTCTACCTACATTTGGTGCATATATTACAGACACGTATATTATGAAATGTCGGCCCTAGCCTGAAGTGACGTCAAGCCGAACAGTCAGTAGCTTCGATCCCGACCAGGAAAACAGCGATGTCACCTCACATCATGTTCAGAAACGGGGGGAAAAGGGTGCAGTTTAAGTATTCCCTCCTTTTGCAAATTTTTAGGTTTTTAAATTCAGTTCTATTCGTATGGCTTTTATTTAATGGTCGTGGGATTAATATTAAACCGGATGTGGTGAAAGTCAGTTTATTTGTGCGACTTTGAGGCTTTGTATCTTCTCTTCCCGGTTTTCTCCGTCGCTAGGAAAAAGGAGAGAGAGAGAGAGGAGAGAGAGAGAGAGAGAGAGAGAGAGAGAGAGAGAGAGAGAGAGAGAGAGAGAGAGAGAGAGAGAGAGAGAGAAGAGAAAAAGAAAAGAAGAGAGAGAGAAAAAAAGAAAGAGAGAGAGAGAGAAGAAGAGAGAAAAGAGAAAAATACAAGCATAACCGGCTCTTCAAACCTGCGAACAGAATCCAGCTCGGTTTCGAAGCGGGATTCTCATCTTTCCAATCCAGCTGATAAGTCCGCTGTGGATGTCTGTCGCGGAGTCATCGGCCGAGTGTGGATTTGCGTTCTTCGTTCGTTCGCCTCTTCCTTCCGTTATTGGTTTATCTGTTTATTCCTTTGTTGTTATTGTTGTCTTCTGTTGTTATGATGATGATGATGATGATGATGATGGATGTTATTGTCATTGTCTTTGTCATGTTTAGTGTTATTATTTTTGTTTGTTTGTTTGTTTTCCTGTGGTTTAGTTTTCCTCTTCTGATATACATTCGTCATCTTGTTTATCCTTCTCTCATCTTATCCACCTCAATATTTCCTCACAGCTCCTCTTCCGCCAGTTCTCTCTTTCTCATTTCCTCTCTCGCTCTATTCTTTCTCCTCTTCTCTCTTTACTTTGTTTTCTTGGTCTTTCTTCTCCCCTCTCCTTTCCTCCCTACGTTTTCCTTTCTCGTCTTCCTTCCTTTTTTCCCTTTTCTCATCTCGCCCCTTCTTCGCTTCCACTCCTCTCTCTTCGTCACTCCTCATCTCTCTCCCTGTGTCATTTTACTTAATCTTTCTTTCTTTCTTTCGGCCCTCCTACCCCTCCCTCTCCTTTTTTTCTTCTTTTCATACCTCTTCCCTCTCTCTCATCTCTCTCTCTCTCTCTCTCTCTCTCTCTCTCTCTCTCTCTCTCTCTCTCTCTCCTCTCTCTCTCTCTCTCTCTCTCTCTCTCTCTCTCTCTCTCTCTCTCTCTCTCTCTCTCTCTCCCCACTTTCCGCCCTCTTTTACCCCTTTCTCCTCTCCCCCCTTTCCCCTCTTCACATCCTTCATCCTCTTTTACGCTCGAACGCACCTCGCTTATGCCTCCGACGTCAAGGAATTATGTATTCATAAAGTGAGGGAAGAAAGAGGCGCAGCAATGGCTTAATTTGAGGTTAATAAGGAGATCAGCAAACAGCGGCGGGATGAGGAGCTTCGAGAACCTTCGAGAAGCTTCGAGTCTCCGAATCTGTGCGGCTCTTGTGCGGTGGCTTTGGAGATTCGAAGCTTCGGGCGGGGGAGTCGAATGGGGGAGGTTCGAAGCTTCGGGGTTTCAGGGTTTTGATGACGTCATAAAAGTGACGGGTGCTTTGTGAATATGGTCGATCATTTTGGTCTTTTCAGTTTTCGAAAAGGATGGAAAATAATGATTTTAATGGTTATATTTTCATTGAACAACCACCAAAACACACCATGACACCTCGAGTTTCTACTGGCCTGCCTTTCCCGGGAATCGAGGGGGGAAGTTCGAAGCTTCAGGGTTTCGGGACGTCGAGGTTTTAAGACTTTCATGATTCGAGGATTTGGGGCTTCGGAGCTTCAGTGCTTCGTGGCTTCAGGGGGGAGGGATTTGAGGCTTCAGGGTCTCAGGGTTTTCAAAGTCTTCTGGGGGTTTCGGACGGTGAGGTTTCGAGACTTTCATGATTCGGAACTTCAGTGTTCGTTTCGGCTGCAGATTCAGCTGTGTTGGCGCAGTGCGTTTATTACCTTATTTTAGCGTATTGTCGAAAATGGCGATGTCTTACATATGAGGGTACATGCAGTCTACATGTATTGTATAGCTACGTACATACATACATACATTCATGAATACGCACGTACACTCATTTTTGTACGTATGCATGCAGATATCCTCATATACTGGCCTTGCACAGAAATATAATCAGAGGTAATATTACAAGCATCACCTGGCCACAAAGTCCCCATGTTCGTCAAAGGAAGCTGTTTGTTCACGTCCTCAGCTGTGAAGGAGGGAGGAGCGAGAGAACGAAATAGGCCTTGTTACGTGTTGACTCGGCGCCGCTGCTTCCGCCATTTTTTCCTCTGTTAATCTTGTTTGTTTGCAATTACGCCCTCTCGCGTGTCGCTCTTTTGTCTTTCTCTGGGCTTCCGGGTGTGGAGTCTAGTCGCGAGGTCTGTATTTTTTTTTTTTTTTTTTTCATCTCTCTCTCTCTCTCTCTCTCTCTCTCTCTCTCTCTTCTCTCTCTCTCTCTCTCTCTCTCTCTCCTCTCTCTCTCTCTCTCTCTCTCTCCCTCCCTCCCTCCCTCCCTCCCCCTCCCTCCCTCCCTCATTTTCTCCCTCTTCTCTTCTCTATCTCTTTTTTTCCTCCCTATCTCGTTCTCTCAATCTCTCTCCCTCCCTCCCTCCTTCCTTCACTCTCTCTTTGTTTTACTTTTCCTCCTCTCCCCTCTTCTCCCCCTTTCCCTCCTCTCTCTCCGTTGATCCTCAAGCCTTGTTTCCTTTGTCGTGTGGAAGGTGGGAGAGCCATTAAGGTTATGCATATACGATATGTATCTGAATTATGGAGGCTGGGGTTAAACCTCGACTTTCTGCTTGCCTTCCTACTCTTCCTGCAACTCTCTTCCTCCTCCTCCCTATCTCTTCTCTTCCTCCTCTCTCCTCCTCCTCCTCCCTCCACCTCTCCTCCTCCTCTACTCTCTTCTCCTCTCTCCCTCCTCCTCCCTCCTCCCACTCTCCTCTTGCTCCTCCTCCACTCCTCCCTCCCTCTCTCTCTCCTCTCCTCCTCCTCCTTTCCCTCCTCCTCCCCTTCCATCCTTCCTCCTCCTCTCTTCTCTCTCCTTCCCCTCCTCTCTCCTTCCCTCCTCCTCCCCTCTCTTCCTCCCTCTCCTCCTCCTCCTCTCTCTTCCTGCTCGTCTCCCCTCGGGCCTCTCGCCTGGCTCTTTCGCTCCCTCTTTTGACGTGGAATTGGAAATGATGTTGATGATCCGAACCGCCGATACGGAAGTCTGCTGCCGATGCCGATGCTCGCCGTCGGGGAGCGAGGAGGGAGGGAGAGGAAGGTTTCGCTTCTAGCCATTTTGCGTTTGGTTAAGAGCTTGTTTGTTTTGTTTTGTTTGTTGTTTGTTTGGTTAAGGGTTTGATTTTTTTTTTTTGTTTCTAGTTTTTTATGTTTTTGTTTGTAGTTCCTCTTTTTTATTTTTGTGATGTCTCTTTTTATTGTCGTTTTCGCCGTCATTGTTGTTGTTACTTATATTATCTATTATGTTATTATTATTATTATTATTATCGTTATTATTATTTATTATTATTATTATGTTATTATTATCATTTGTTTATTTTTATTAGCTATTTGCTTCATCATCATCATTATTATTACCAGTATTATAATTATGTCGACCTTTAAACTGAGTTCGTAGTAACAATATATATATATATATATATATATATATTGTTGCCTTTTGATTGCAATGATGCAAGATGAATAAATATAAGGCGTGTTGATCATCGGCCCCAATTTCCATGGTGGAGATATTTGCACATGCAATGCCCGCCAGTGAGCAACGCGCGAATATATTTTGCGCGAATGGGAAATACAAATGGGTCTCTTTTACCTCCTAAGTCATTTTATGAGCGCTGTGAGTTTTCCGGGATAGAAGTATACCGATTAAAAATATAGATATCTTAGTCGTGATTGGATTATTTGTTTATTTTAGTTATTCGTGTGTTTGTTTACACATCTTTGTTTATTGTGAGAACGAAAATACATCGACGGAATAAGTGTTGTCTCATGGGACTCGATTGTGAATAAAACAGGGACGCACCGCTGACTTCCGTAACAAAAAGGAAAACCTTCGTGCAAATCGGCATTCGGATTGGCTATTCGGCCTCGGGCTGGCGACCTTATAGCCTGGATTGGGGAATGCTGTCATATAGCGCTGGATTTAGGGAATGTGCTCCCCATGTAAATTCGAGAGGTATTCTGGAACTATCTATCTCCTTTGTGAGAGAAGGCATGTGTGCGTGTGTGTGTATGTGTGTGTGTGCGCGCGCGTTTTCCGAATCACTGTTTTCCGCACACGATCGCGAAGCAAGATGAGGGACGGTCGCTCCTCGCGAGGGCGTGACTGCTAATTCTAATGGGCTGTTGACCGACAGGGGCTGGCGCCAGGGGAAGCCCGGAGAGGGGCGGGGTGACGTGGTCCTTGTGAGGAGCCCCT